TTCTCTAAATTGTTTTTTTTTTTTTTTTATTTCCATAATTTTTGTGTGTGGGGTGGAGATTAAGATGGCATTCTGGGAGAAATTGTCATGTCAGTGGCTGTATTGTTTGTGGAGAATTGTGGTGATTAATTTTACACGCACTTGTAGCTCAGGAGCGCTCTCCTGGAAGGAACCCGGGACCCTCGTTTATCCTGCAGCCTTACATCCGCACACAGGATGGGAGAAGGAATGCAGGGATTGCCTCCAGGATCTGTGATTGGTGAAAAATGTGTAAAAAAAAAAAAAAAACAGATTCTAGGAACAAATGTTCTGAATGGGCAAAAAAATTCACATTGTTAGGTGATTTTTACGTATTTATAAATTAATTTTCAATATATTGATTAACTCCAGATACAGCATATACAAAGAGAACAAAAGCTGGCCTAAAATTTAAATTTTACATTTCTAAAACCAAATAGTAAATGTAATAAAATTAAAAAAATGTGTGGACAATGTTCTTGATTATACGTTCTAGTTTGTTTATCTGTTTCTTCTGACAATAACTCAAATTGTTCAAAAGAAATAAATGAAAATAAATGAATTAAGAACTCACTGTAGTTCTCCTATAAAGAACTATGATGAGTTCTTTTTAGAAGACTCACTATAGATGTTGCTACTCATTGTTAATAAGAGTGTATAATGGTGTTATATTCATGTACCAGTTCATCATTCAGTAATAACAAACTGACACTTTGCAGTATTTGATTTAGCCCAGCCTTAGATTTCCTTACATACATTATCATTTAAATGTTTGTCTATCTTGCTTGGCTTTGAAACTTCAAAGCAGTACATCAGACACTTACCCTTCATATAATAGCTGCTAAGTACCCTGGCTGGGGTCCTGGCCAGAGGGGAGCCCCCAGGGTGTGTGAGCGAGGGCCAGCTGGAAACCTCGGCCTCAGCCTGAGCTGGCCACCTCCTCTCCGGGGCTTTCTACCCTCTTCAGGAATGTGTGATTCCTTTCCAGCGCTGCCACCACTCAGTTAGAGAGCAGCGCAGCTCTGATCCACAGTAGCACAGCTGTGGTATTGTCTGCTCCCCTGGGTGGTGTGTGACAGCGGCTTGCTTGGCCAGCTCCATTGTAAATCCTCATTCACTACAGAGTGCTGGTGTAGGCTTTTTGTGTGCTGTTATTTAGCAGACGGTTGATGCTGGCGCCCGTCCAGCCCATGTTGTTGAACAGAGTGAGCAACCTCTTCAAGGTGATTATTCAGAGATGTTCTTGCATCCTTGAGGGGAATAAAAAAGTATTTTATTTTGCAATCCTTAGTTTTAAGTGTAGTTTACAACACTTAATTTTTTTATAAATTGAATCCTTTCATATAGGTTTTTTAAACTTAGCAAAATATCTCATTCTTTTTTTGATGACAGTCAAATTTATCACTGAAAAATGTATGTATTTCAGTTTGGGGAGCCAGTTTTGTGATCTATAGATTCATTACACATAGTAATGAGTCTCCAAGTGTTTCTGTTATTTTGATGATATATTGCTATTGAGAAAAAAAATCTCTTAAAATTAGAATATTACAATAAAAAATATCTATAATTCAAAAATATGTTCTGGTCTCCATAATCATGGAAAATACTGCTGGCTTGACAGAGGGAAAGCTACAAGAGGTCTCTGCTGTTCTTACATTTCTAGAACCAAGTATGTTGATGGAAAGTTTAGTGGAAGGAAACCCCTGGTAGAAAAAAATTGCGCCAGCAACAGAGATTGAGGCTCCCTCAGACCGGCTGCTTAGAACCTTGCTAACTAGGCAAGGTTAGCAAGGTTCTAAGCTAACTGGTATAATAAGGTTCTAACTAGGCAAGGTTCTAAGCATAGAAAAAGCATAAAAAATAGTTAGCTTTTTTTTTTTTTTTTTTTTTTTAGCAGTTTGCTGGGCAACATTTGTCTTCTCCACTGGCTTACTGCTTGCCAACCTATACAATATTATGTGCATTCTGTGCAAAAAAATCTTGCATTCTGTGCAAAAAAAAAAAAAAGTAAAATATGCAATTTTCTCTTGTACATTTCAGTCATAATACAGGTCTTAAATGTTATTCATATTAGTCTTTAAAAGGTCTTAAAAAGCCTTAAATATGAGTTGATCAAACCTGCAGAAACCCTGATTTTTTGCAATATTCACATCAAAATAACAGAATTAAAATATAGCTCTGATTAGGCTTTGAATTTATTTGCGGCAAGAGTTTCTCTTTTGAATTAAATTACTTACATAAAATAATGTTTTGGTGACATTTGGTTTTACTAAGATTTTCCTGTGTCTGGTGTTCAGTTAATTACCAAAATGATGATGTAGACATTTTATGGTGGGTTGGCCCAGCTGATAGAATAGTCTCATTGTTGACTGTTGTCACTTTCCTGCTAAGTCTCAACCAGCCCATTGTCACTGAGCAGCAGCCTGCTGTGCACCGACTGCTGATAACAGGGAACACGGCCATGCCCATGTCAGGATGTGTCCTGTTCATACCCAGAAGCCCCGGGAGGACCCAGCCTGCGGGAGTGAGCTGTGGAAACGCCCAGGAGGCTGACTGGGACCCAGGTGGTCCTGCTCACACAGACAGGTCATTTACAAGCTGCTCTGTACTCACATCACTGCACTCCTAATGACTGACAAGCTCCACCAGAGATTTGTTGGGTATTTGAGAAGGTGAAAACAAGACTGTGTGTGATGGAAAATGTGGCCATCAGACGACCTTCAGAAGCAGGAGCAGACTTTGTTTAATAACTACATTGCTGGACCCCCCCATGACTACTCTGCACCCTGTGCTATACCCCTAAACCAGCCCCCCCCGCTAAGTCCATGAGCTGTGGGTTAATTGTCATGCAGTGATGTAAAATTATGGGTGCGGGAGGTCTCTGCACCTCAACAAAAGTCCCCGTCTGTTCCCCTCCCTCGCGCTACCACCCTTCTTCATCCTTCCTGCAAGTTACAACTAATTCCTGGAGCGGTGCAGCGAGAAAGACGCTGCTATCTCTTATTAAGACCCACGACTCGACGCCCCACCCCCCACCCCTTTTAAGTGCACACACTCTCACATATACTATACAGTCTCATTCAGAGAACACAGAGGGAAAATAGTAGAGGGTGGGTGAGAAAATGGGAAGTAGTCAGCAAGCTGGAGTTTTTTTCCCTACCCTTCTCTCGCTCTCCCTTTCCTTTTTTCCCTGATTTGCCGTGCTTTCCTCAGAAAGCTCCATTGTTCCCCTAGCCTAAGTCTCATCAGGCCTTTTGTGGCTGACTATCACAGCGGCAGGCAGAGAGCTGGAAATGTATAAATGGTATCATGCCTTGTGATTAATGGCGGTGCTTATGAGTCAGGTCTGATAACGGGCCTGCTCTCTACTCAATTTCAGATACCGTTAATGGAATCTGTCTTCTGCGATTGTAATGTGAGAGCGCCTAATTTGCTATGGAGCTTGAAGCTGTCACCGGCAAGGGATTGTGGGGTCATAAGGGACCTGGCAGCCGTTTGGCCTGCAGCTTGTATCTGCGGTGCTGAATAGAGCAGCTCTCTGCCTGTCAGTTAGCTGATAGGCTGATGAGGACTCTAAGCCACTCCACACAATAGTGGAAAGGGCCATACTGCCTGACTTTCCTAATTGTCGAGCCTGTTCATATTTCAGAGCCAGCATGCTGGGGACTGGGCTGCTTTTTTTTCCTTTTCTTTCTTCCCCTTCTCTCGTCATGAACTTTTTTTTCTTTCCTTTTCCTGTATTTCATCCTACATCCCGCACGCTGTCTCCCCCCTTTAATGCACACTTTTCTGCACTATTTTGTCCCCTTAATTTCTCCCCCCTCTCTCTGTCTCTCATAGTAGTAAGTGGTGGGTCTTAGCATATGACAGATTATCCCAAGTTTGCTTCAATTACTGCAGAGGAGATGGGAACGGCACAGGAGAGGAGGAAAGGGAAAACTTTTGTGCGTACATTATATTTAAGAAGCGGAGGATAAAGTGCTATCTCCACCACGGTGGTTTCTCTGTTTGAGATGAACCGGCTGCTGGGAACAAAGTTCTGATGAATTTCCTCATTTCACAGGGAGTGTTTTTTTTTTTTTTTTTTTTTGAAGGTCTGGTCCGAGAAGCAAAAATTGGGTAGAAGGAAGATTATCGCTGGTTCCTAAATTAGTCTGAAAGAAGTAGGAAGCTTATTTCACCGGAAATTTTGTATGCAGTTTGAAGTTGCTGACTTTGTTGTTTTTATTTTACTTTTTTACACAGTGGTTCAGCATAACTTAAATCTGTAAGAAATTTAACTAAAGTAGGGCTACACGGCCAATATTTCCCGGTTAAATACTGTAAAATCAGATTTTTTTTAAACTTTCTGTTAAAGCATCAAACCCCAAAACTAATTTTCAACCTATAAATGCATCAAACCAACAGCATGTACTTAAGTGTGCTTTTTTGACTTTAAAATTACAGATTTATATTTTGATGCATAAATCTAGATAACCTTATAATGTCTTCATTTTCTGTTGTATTGTATTGAGATGACACCCAGTAGAATGGTAATTAGCCACACACACACAAAAAAAATGGCTGCTACACTGTATTGAAGATGTGTAGCTTGTAGAATTGTCTAACAATGATATATTTAATAGATATTTTAGTTTGTGAGGCTAAAATATTATTTTTCACAATGGTATGATGAAATATATTTATATTATTATAGTATTAGTTACTGAGGGAAGAAAACTCAAATTTAAGTGTTTTCAGTTTGAGGTGTTCAAAATAATGTCAGGGGAAGCAACAAGACGTGAGATCCTCCTAATATAGATAATGACCGTTTACTTCAGAAAGCATCGACAAAAAAAAGCCCAAACATTTTTTTAATCCTGTTAATCACAGTTCTGCCTAAAATTGGACAAAACCTTGCAAAATCCAAGATCAAAAATTAGCCAAGAAACTCTCATCTGTGCATGTCTAAAAATTAATTAAAGGCCCTTCTTCATTGTTAGGTTGACAGGTCCTGGACCCGGTGCGGTCCTGGCTGGAGGCCTGTTCGCTGTGTCCAGGCTCAGCTGGCAGTGGTCGATGGTGGCAGAAGTCTTCACCCTCAACAACCTTTTCGTCGGCGCTCTCTTCTTCTTGACGGCCAGCTTCCACTGTGCTGAGAACTCCTGGCAGAGGAGGAAGGTGGTCCTATCAAACCCACCCTTACAAATCTGTCATCTTCCTTGTTAGACGTTAAACTGACATTGGTGAAATGTTGCGATTGTTTCTTTCAGATTGCGCATTGGGGCGCATTTTGCTGCGGCCTGGGACTGTGCAACCAACACACTCTGGTCCTGTATGTGCTGATCATCATTCCCTGGGTCCTTTACCGACTCTTTTCTCTAAAGGTAAAACTACTCTTACATACATACAGTAAACAAACAATATTTGTGAATACTTCAAAAATCGTATTCATTTTCAAATTTAAACAGGAGCTGTCTGTTTTGGGCCTTGTAACTCTGGGACTTTGTTTCATCGCTGGTTTTTTCCCGTACATCTACCTACCCATCTCGTCCTACCTCAACAGCGCCCGCTGGAGCTGGGGGGACCAAACTACCCTTTTCGGTTTGCTGACCCACCTGCTGAGGGCAGAATATGGGACATTCAGCCTTGTACGTACTGGTTTATGGATCTGCACATCATGTTTTAAAAAAGAAACTTCTTGTTCTTGTTGTAGTATCTGGATTATTTTGCCCTTTATAGTTTTTAATCCATACTTTTCTGTGTTTTATAGGCAAAGACAGAGACCTCTGTGAGTCTGAGCTCAATGCTGCAGTGAGTTTATCAACTTTACCCTAATTATCAAGTATCTTAGTATATAATTGATGTGATTTTTTTATTTTTATTTCCAGCATGTTAATGTTCCTACTACATAGTACTTACTACAAAACAGGAACCCTGTCTTCTCCTTGAGTTTTCAATGTTCAAATTGACACTCATATGTTGCAACAGAAAAATGATCCTAGACACACATCCACACTGATTTTGCAACAAATAAACTCTTAGAATACAGCCAGAGCTACAGTCAAGTGGTTTGGTTCAAACTCTGACCTTATTCCAGTAGAGAATATGTTTACTTTGTGTTGGTTTATCACATAAAATCCCAATAATATGGCACTTGTAATAGTAAAGTGTCAAAAAGTTTTTACAAGTTATTTCAAGTCCATGTGTAGATATTTTATAATCACATTCATGTCATTGTAGAAAATTGTTATGCTTAAAATTCACATTTTGCATCTTTATATATATATATATATATATATATATATATATATATATATATATATATATATATATATATATATATATATTAACATTTTTCTGGTTCATGTGCAGAGTCTGTGTGAATTTGTCTTGTGTTTGTATTGTAAGATGGAGCAAAAGAGAAACTGTAAAAAGTGCGGCCTTTGATCTCAGACACACTGAGAGCACATTTAGTTTCTGAAGATGGAGGACGCAGCCACTCAATGCTTTATGGTTATGGTGGTTTACTCAGGTTTAACTGCAGACACGCCAATCTTCCGAGAGAGAGCCAAGAGTCCCTTCTTCCTTCGCCGCTCAGTCTGGCAGCTTTTGTTCTTCCTGTTCCACTCTCTCCCATCAAAGAGCTGAACCTGCTTACGGGGCCAAAAACGCTGTGTTCTGTTTCTCTTGCAGTTTGAACTGATCACTCAGCTCTGGTGGTGAACCGTGACAAGCTGTGATGACAAACACTGCGGCAGAGCTGGAGAAATTGTATTTTTTTCCCCCCTACCAATAAATATCCTCCTTTTGCTCTCCGCCACCGCTACAGTCTTCCCTCTGCTGCTATCTTTCTCCAACTGATGGGACATGAGAGGGTGTGTGGGTGTGTGTGTGTGTGGGGGGGTTGCATGTTCATCTTAGGACCCCCCACCACCAGACCCCCCTCTGCCTGCCACCCACCCTTTCCCATCACCCCTGCTGCTTGACGGACACGCACACCTTCAATATGGGGGAAAGAGACGAACATGACAGGCATGTCGCTGCGGAGACGTAAACCCGCCGGAGACGTTGACACACACTCACACAGACACACTCACCAGCACATCACACACAGCATTCATTGGGAGATATAGAGACTCAATAAGCTGTCAAATAGAGATGGGTATTAAGGAAGAGGCAGGGAACTATCTCTCTGCACTGAGCAAGCGCTTTGTGAATGACAGGCGCTGTGAGGAGAGGACAGGGTTGCCGGGGACGGATGACACAGTCATTCGTATCTGTCAATCCGATTGAAAGAGGAAGCACACAGTCCAGGGAGTTTGTTTTCATACGGTTTGATAATTGCTGTCCTTGACTTCAGTATCATGAAGGGTAATTGAGCTTGTCTTTGGTGTCCATCATGTGCTACATATCCGTATGTGTGTGTTCTGTGTGTGCAGGGCCCAGCTGGACCACTGCCTGGCGGATCTCTCTCCTCCTGTTTTGGTTCTGGCAGGAATAGGCCTTCTCTTCTCCCTGTGGGACAGGTAGAATGAGCAAGATGGCAGCACACAACACTCAGCAGCCACTTCTCAATGAAAAAAAAAAATAATCCCCTGCAGTGAAAGATGGCTAACAAAACCACTGACAAAACGCTGATCCTGAAAAAGGAGAACACAAAACGAGGCTGAGGCACCTCGCTGTCAGGCTGTCACGACGCTCCTCATTCAGATCGAGTGGGGTTGATATTTATTTAGGATTTTCAAATGTGTCTGTGTGTGCCAGTAAGTCACTGTGTGTGTGCGTGTGGCGTTGGGATCCAGTAATTTATTACATTGGTGGCTTTGCTGGGGTCTGTGGGGTGGTGCTGATAAAAGCCCAGTGCTGCCCTGGAGCTCTGCAGGGTACCAGCCGTTCTCAGCTTCCCCCTGAGGTGCACTTTAATAAACCACACAAACACATGAAGAAGACCAAGGTCAACCTTCGGAGTGCCAAAGGGGAAGCACTGCAAATTTTAGTTTGTACTGTGTTACGCACCAAGAGTCGTTTTGCAAATAATTGTTTTTCTGAACTCTGTAGAGATATAAGGAAATCATGATTAAAGAGGCGGTATTGTGTATTCTCCAGGCTTATAGTACCATTTTATAGCACGGTCAAGTAACTATGTTTACTTCAGATGTTATAAAATGCTATATAAATCAAATATGACTTAAAAGAAATTAGATTTTGTAATTTAACGCCTTAAAAACCCCTGCTCTTTCAGGAGCATTACACTGAGAAGTAGCTCATGTAATGTGCAGATGCACAGTTCTTGCCAGGTGTTTGCTAATTGCTGCTGGCTAGTCTGAAGGATTTGAGTAGGGATGTGGTGGGAGAGGACTGCTCTGAGGTGAAAGCTTCGAAACTGCACCTCTGAGGAGGAGCTGTGTCTCGAAGGCGGTGCGAGGTCTGCTCAGGCGTTTTGCACAGCTGAATGGTTGCCATAGGAGATTAAAGGATTTCTCAAACAGGCATGAAAGAATCAAGGCAACTCTCCAAGTATGTGTTTGATGAAGGAATAGCATTATAACACGGTGTAAAGCTCACAAAAGTAAATTTTGCATAATACTGCCCCTTTAAAAGCAGTTTCATGTATAAAACACCATCAACATCTTGTTGCTGGTGAGCGTGGTCTGACTGAGAAGAGTCCTTTCAGGTTCAGATGATGACTTGTTTTTGCCATGAGAGCAACGTGTGTGTGTGTGTTTTTTTAGTAATCTAAGTATATTTTACAGATTTACTGTAATGAGTTTGTGATTCAGAGGCTGGCAGCTGCTCTTTATGACTCATTAGGAAATCAATCATGCACCTCTCAGCTTGCTAACACATGCAAGCAGCTTGTTAGTGCTAATAGTCATTCAACACATTTTAAAAAATATTTTTGAAGAAATATTACGGTAGATAAACATGATATTGAATAGTATATTCAGTAGGTCAGTGTATTTCACTAAGATGAGCAACAAGTTGTGGATAACTGTGAAGTGGGAGTAAAAAAATATGCATTATTTTTACTTTTTTTTTTTTTTTTTTTACAAACAAACCTCGGCCCCATTCGCAAGACTTTTTCTGCCTTTAAGAGGTTTTATTTTCTTTCATCTTTTTTAATTGATGTGTCTGTTGTGTTCTTTGGTTTTTAAAATGCCGTTTGTTCACCATTGTTTTTAACAAAACTCAGAGGCCAAACTCTGTTTACTTATGAATTCAATTGGAGTTTATTCAGAAATGTAAAAAAAAAACATCTTTTCAGATTTAAATTTTTAAATACTTTTAAACCATTAGTCATTGTCATTTTATGTCAAAATTATGCATATTCTGTGTTGGGTTGTCTGCTGGTCATATTAAGACAGAATGAGGAGAAATAGGACTATTTTTGCATTATAGCCGAATACTGATGGACTGGAAATAAAAGCAGATGACTATGGTCGGTGTCGTTTCCTGTTTAGGACCTGCTGCTCGGTTTCCTGGCTGTTGACTGCAATGCTGCTTGTCTACTCTCTGTTTTTTGCATGGAGAGCTAACCTGGACATTAGCAGACCGTTACTGCTTGGAGTGGTATGCAACAACACGTCTCTCTTCAACATCCAGTTTGAAAGATATCAGCTGCCTAAAGTGTTTTGCTGCAGCTCTTTAAGTAAATGCACTGTTATTGTTGTGAGTACATTCGGTGCATATTTTACATGTGTGTGTTTGACCACCTGCAGGTGGAGCGTTTTTGGCTCCAGAGTGATGCTGCAGTTTGTGTTCTGGCCGGCCTCGGTTTGAGCCACGCTCACAGTAAGATGGAGAGGTGGCTGGGACACGGGGGGCTGTGGAAGACCATCGGCTGGGTCTTCACCTTAGCTCTGCTGGGACAAATGGGACGCACCAACCACAGGTGAACATTTATCATTGACTTATGAGACAAACATGTACGAGCGCCATCTTCTAATGATAAAGAAGGGTAATATTTATTTTATTGGATGTGAAATAACAAACTTTAATCCTGATAAAACAGTAAGCGATTAAATTTGTTGCCTTTTAGTTAAATAGGACAAGAATAAAAGTAAAGTCAGCATTCGAAGCTTCCTTTCAGAGTTTGCTGTTCGGGCATCATTTCTGTCCTGTAGATTCGTCGTTAAACTCTCCTATTTTGTTGGGGCTCAAACTCCAGTTCAGCTTTGTGACATTCAAGTTTGCAGACAATTACAGAACCAATTTTACAACAGCAAAGATTCTGATCACAGTGGACATAATTATTATAGCTGCATTGTATTGCACTTCCACAGGCTATTAGTAATTCCAAGCTGTAATTGTGTTTTAGCGGCAGGCTTTTTTAATTCTGCACAATCTTTGAGCATTTATCTGTCAGTTAAACAGTACTCCTGCTGCAGAAGTTACTCTGGAGCCAAACAAATACATTGCCTTGAAAAAAGGTTTATTTCCCCAGAACTTTTTCAGTTTTAATCAAGTTGCAACAACTAACTTTCTAAATAAATATATTCTACTGAGATTTCATGTGCTAGATCTACAGAAAGTAGAGCATCATTGAGAAGTGGAGGTAAAGTCACATGAATTGAACTCTGAAAAGGGGGTCAAACATATTTTTTCAGCCTGCTTCAATCAGATATACCTAAGTAAAATCTAATAGAAGCTGAAATTAAAAAGAAAATGAAAAACATGATATTTATCAATGTACTCCATCATTCCTGACTGAGGCTGATCATAAAAAAGAATAATCTAGATGTGCAGAGCTGATAGAAACTTACCCTGAAAGACTTGCAGCTCTAATTGCAGCTAAACTGGTTGTTGAAGACAAATCTGTAAAATGTGAAAAACTTCAAAGTTTAAGCCTTCTGCTTTTATAAAGTTCGGGCAGAATAAAATTTCTGTCTGAAATCCCTTACCCAGGTGCATGTTTTTCCTGAGTCAACCTGATTTGTTTCTCCTGTACTTCATCCCACAGGTCTGAACTCCACATGTCAGGTTTTCCCTCTGTGCTTGTTGGTAAAGGCTAAAGAGAGGCTTGGTTAGCATGCAGATTCCACTCGCAGGGCTCAGTCTGAGATGTTAGCTGTCCGAGAAGGCAGATTACACCAGCGCAGCGCCGCGGCGTGCCAGACAGCTATCACTGAGCAGCTTTGATCAAGCAGGAGAGCATGGCCTGTACTGTCAGACCGATCACACCTGTCTCCCTACGATTAGATAGGCAGTCAGAGAGCTGTTTGAAGGAAAAGGGTGAAGGGGAAAACCAACGATTTCCCCTTAGAGCACCCAGAAAGCATACATGCAAACATGTACACATCTGTATATATAACACAGATCTCCGAGGCTGCACTTATTTGTGAGTTGAATGGATAATAATTATTTCAGGGAGTGTGACCAGAGCAGGAACGATGTGGTGGAGCGGTTCGGCAGGGAGCTGCTGGCCTCCTTCCCAAAAGACTCACTCATCCTGACCAGAGGAGACCTGCCAGGAAACTCTCTGCGCTACCTGCACTACTGCCAGGACATCCGGCCTGATATCCGCCTGGTCGACCAGGAGGTCAGGACCTCCATGTCTGCTGCCTCTATTAACTATCCAACTGTTCTCCTTACGGTTCTGATAACAGTATAAATCAAAGAACCAGTGCAGATTATTTTTAATTATTTATACATTCATTTCAGTTACACAGACCAAATAGATTTTAGGTTTTCTCTGAAGTATGTAGATAAGGACTGTTTCTTATAGTATATATGCAAGAGAGGATTTTATGAAATCCTGTATGATGAATGTATATAGCAGCAAAAATATGGCTTTATTTAATTTTAGAGTTTGAAGTCAAAATTATTTTTGGTTGCTAAAATGTTTTCTTAGACATGAGCATAGATTTAAATGTGCCTGTGTTTAGACATCCATATAGATTTTACTAAAATTTTTTATAACCATACAGAAATTAAGATGCATCTATTAACTAGCTATTAATCCAAATATATATATATATATA